CGCCTGCTGCTGAAATCTAAAGAGTTTTTGATTCGTCATTTTATTTTGCCCTATATTATACTGGGGGACACCGTGTACATTAGCTGAATTTTACAAAAAGGTTTAACTTTAACATTTTGTGAAATCATTAATTTTATAGCTGTCGGACCGCTTAAAAAACGTGCTTATGGCACATTAAATCGAGAATAATACAGTTTTTAAATAATTGAAATCGAATAATTATTAATGCCCCTAGCGCGCGAAACGTGAAAAGTGTGCAAAAACGCGTTTTTACAGGTGCACCATTTCTGAAAAAGCGCTCTAGGGCCTAAACGATAGAGACTAGGCTTGTCGCGCGGTTTTTTAATCAGCATACTCTAAAGAATTTTTTACAAATATAATTTTTCGATTTCGTTAAGCCCTATTGGCAGCGTTCTGCCGTCCGCCTCATTTTTTTCTTTAAATCACCCCCGTTCAGCGAGCGCACCCCTAAATCTGCTGCAAAATGACATTCGGACTATGTCAATCTGAAAAAACTGTGAAAATTTAAAAACTTTTTGAGTTTTTTGCACAAACCACGTTTTTTTTGCTCCATTGACAGGCCTACTAAGCGATAGCCGGAAATGTACTTGAATTTTTCTCTAATCGTTACCGATCCTCAACAGTCAAACTGTGATTATTGATGCTGAAATTTTCTTGTTTTTTTAACGTTGATTGGAAATTAAAACGCAATTCAAAAAGAAATCAAATATAAAAAAATCCTCTAAAAATTAAAAATGAAACTAAAACGCAAAATAAATGTAAAAAAATAAAACTAAAAAGTAAGTATTCTAAAAAACTAAAATTAATTTTAATTAAATTTTCGAAATGGCCTCTTTCTCTAGCCAAACAATACCCGAGACGGTCGTAGAATTCCCTACGGGTGTTAGCAAACATGATTGGGGGAACATTCTGGCATTCGAGTTGGATGCGATCTCGCAACTCATCCAAATTGTTCGCTCTATCATGCGCAACAAAAACCCGGGTTTTGATGTAGCCCCACAGATAGATCCAAGGGCGATAAATCCGGAGATCGTGCTGGCCATGGAATGTTTCCACCTTGCCCAGCAATCAGTCGATTTGGAAATGTTTTGTTCAGGTACTCACGCACAACAAGCGCGTTATGTACTGGACATCCGTCCTGCTGAAACCAAACATTGTCTAAATCCGGTTCGATTGCCTGGAAAGCTGGGACCACTTGAGTTCGGAGCAGATTCAAATAATCGTTAGTATTGAGGTTTCCTTCAATGTAAAAAGGACCAATGACATTGCTGCGAAAAACGCCGCACCACACGTTGACTTTCGGCCGGTGTTGGGCACGTAGTAGCAATTGCCGATGCTGGTTGTGACGAGACCAATATCGATGGGTCATGCTGTTGTGACGGCCGTGCAAAGGAAACGTAGATTCGTCCGTAAAAAGGATGTTATTAATAAAATTGTCGTCCGCATTTGCACGGTCCATCATCTCCTCGCAAAACTCCATTCGTCGCAGGTAATCGCCTTCGTACAGTTAATGAGATTTTTTGCATTATTATCATTTAATTTTCAAGGTCGTCTTACCTGCTCCGAGCAGGCTGCTCGACATTCGTCATGTCGTTTATCACACAAGCTACTGTGACGCGTTGAAGGGAGGCGAGGCCAAATAATAAAGGACCCAGTATGCTACCTTGTGGGACGCCCATATGTATATCAGCAGTAGAACTAACATTGTTAACTTCAACAAATTGTTTTTGATTTGAGAGGTAGTTTGAGGCCCATTTGATAGCTGTTGGATGAAAGTTGTAATATTGTAGCTTAGCAATCAACAAATTGTAGTTTATGACATCAAATGCCTTGCTGTAATCCAGTAGTATTTGTGTGGTGACTTGAGAATTATCAATACCACGAATCATTCATCTTGAGTAAAGCTGTGTTTGTGCTAAAATGTTTTCTGAATCCTGATTGTGTTTTTGGTAGGGTATTTTTACTTACAAATTCAATCAATTGATCATGCACTATACGTTCTTGAACTTGAGATGCGGTTGGTAGCAAGCTTATTGGTCTAAAATCACTTAGGTTATTTGGTTTTGCGTTTTTTGGTATTGGCTTCACTCGGCCTGTCTTCCATATTTGGGGTGTTTCACCTGTTAATATAGAAGTGTTTATTAGGTGTGTAAATTGTTTTATGCAATATGGTAGGACAAGTTTCCAGGCTTTAGCATTAATTTCATCACAACCCACTGCATTTGTTGAAATCGGCAATCGGCAATTTGTTCAGATGATACTTCTTTGAGTTTTAGTGGATCATTTGCTTGTTTTTTATTGCTTATGTAATGACTTCTTTATCGACTGGTGGAGTTGATAATGCATTTATATAGAAAGTATTTAGATCTTCAGCATTTATAAACTCAGGTATATCAATTGATGGCTTTTTATTGTGAATTGAGCTGGTGAGTTGAATCTGTGATATTTTTTAAGAGCTTCTTTTTTTAATTTTATCATCTCAACAATGTTGTAGGTTATAATTTTAGTTTTCAATAGTGCATGTACATCAAGAAGGGCCAAAATTGCCGAGATAAGGTATTCTATTTTATAGTTTATGTCATCTGATTGGTAAACCATGTCCCAAAGTATTAGTGAGGCATCTCTTGCGAACTCATTTTCATTTTTATTTTTTTAAATCTCTGTAGGTTATAGTTTTGGGTTTTTTTGGTGGAATTGACACATTAAATTTTCAGCAAACCAACATATGGTCAGAGAGATTTAACTGATCGACAACCATGAAGTCAAACCATTCAGCATCACAATCACAGCATATCAAGTCAATTAGTGATTGTGTTGTATTTGTTATTCTTGTAAGCAAGTCAACAATCTGAGTTAAATTATAGGTTTCAAGTATGTTTAGCAATTCCCTTTTCTGTGTTGATTCTGATAGGATATTTATATTGAAATCACCTACTATTATAATTTTATCACATTCACAGTAGATGCATCTTAAAGCCTCCTCAAATTCTTCCAATTTAACATCATTTGTGGTTGGCCTATATATGACTTTAATCCATAGTTGTTCGATTTTGTTTTTAACTAAAAAGTCTGTGTTAAGCCTGAGTTATAGATTGCCTTCCTTCCTTCCTTCCTTCCTCCCGTAGAAGATGAACATTACGTAATTGTCACCATTAACATTTTCCGTGTAGGAATTTTTAATACTTTCTGATAATATTTTGCAATTATAGTAATAAAAAAAATCAAAGAATAAAATATTTTCTTAACAAAGTCATATTTTGAAGTTATTTTAATATTTTAAAGTATCAATAATTATTATAATAATATAATTGTTAAGTTTAATTAAAATTAATAACGGGCAATGTTATTGGTGACAATTACGTCAATAATGTTTATTTAAATCGTGGTGTCAGTTATAGATTCCCGTACCGTAAGGACGGAATTCCTTCCTCCCGTAGAAATTTTTAAGTTTTATCTTTAACCGTAAAGGTCTTTGACGTGACCAATCACAGTGCTGGTTATGGACATGCGCTGTAGGGTGACAGCGCGTAGGCACAAAATATTCTAAAATACATGATTGTTTAGTATTATTTAAAATAGGTGTTCAGTTTATTAAATAATTTGTGTCTCTAAATAGGTAGGATATTAAGATATTGTTTATGATCAATGTCTTTCATTTTTAGAAACGTTGCTTTGTAAAACCCCGTAGTTTCCCGGTCTTAGTAAAGTGGGGGAGTCTTCCAACGTCTTGTTCGATGTTTTTTTCATTATAATGCCCTACTATGGAGAAATGCAGTAACTACAAATGCGTTTTCTTGTGCTATGATAAAAGCTATGGACATTTTGTGTCTTAATTCAACAAAGAAATGCAGTAAACTATCTTTTAAGTTAAATAAATCAGTTAAATACCTACTGCTTTTTATAAAAATTTAGTTTATGCTAATTTCTCACAAATTTCTTGTTTAGCAGTTACCGTCAAACGGGGCTAAGTGGATCTGCTGGGGTAAAGTGGATGACAACTTCCTGACGTAATATTAAAATGCGCAGTCGCGAACCTGTAACGTGATTGCGAATTTTGCCGGCGCAAGTCAGTCTAATACACAATGGTGGTTGGGCTTATATGCGTTAATTTTCATAAACAAAAATAAGTTTGCTTAAAACAATACATGTTCTAAAATTCAGAAATGTACATTTATCGAAATGTCAAAATTCGTTTATTTGCACAGGCGATATGTTAATATTTATGTGTATTTGACAATTGCATATCAATAACCTAACTTTTGACTTTAAATAATAAACAGACAAGACCTTTGTGTCTTAAAGGGGAGTCCGTGTGGGATTTTTTTAATCCACTGATGTCACCTCTTGGGGCAAAGTGGATCTCGAGATCGTCAAAAAAATTCTATAGGTACCTATGGATATGGACATGCAATCCATGTACCTACTGCCTTTCTCCATAGTTGGGCAGTATACAACAAGCTGCCTGGGCAATTTAAATTGTGATCACTGCACTAATATATAAATGATTATCTTTCATATTTAAACACAATGGGTAAAACGCAGAATATAAACAAAACAAATGTCAACCATTTTAGGTGTCATCGCGCATGGTTACGGAATTTTACACGGAAATCTATAAATTGACTTTTTACAAGACGCACAAATCGTACGGGCACGACTACGGGAGGAAGGAAGGAAGGCAATCTATAATTCAGGCTTTAATTGTTTTAACTTTAATTTTTTCATGGACATACCAGTGTTTTTCTATCTTTTCTTATAATTGAGTAATTTGGTATATTTTTCAAAGTATCGGGGATGTCTGCATACAGCCAAGTTTCAGTCACTGCGATTAGATAGTACTTCTCTTGTATTACGGGATTTATAAACTCATGATAGCTGGGCATTAGTGACCTAATATTGATATGGCCTATTTTTAGGTACTTGTTTGTGACCAGTGGGGGTGTATTTTTGTCTTATGCTGTTATGTTTAGGTTAAGTAGTTTGAAGTTTTTATCTGTATCTATAAAAAAGATTTATTATTTTCTCTGTGTTTATCAAATCTGTACCTTTTAATACCCACTCCCTTTGGCCAAAAACTTGGATCATATAGTTTGTCTTTTAGATCGAAGTGCGCATCTAGTACAAAACATTTGTTTTGGGTTTCACTCGTGGGAAGTTCTTTCACATTAATATCAGAGTCCAATAAACCAGGCTGGTCTTTGATAAATGATTCAATATTAGTTTTAGTTACTGTTCTTTGTATTCGATGAAAATAGATCCAAACTCTTTTCTCAACACCTACAAAACCAGACGAGCTCTCGTTCGTGCCCAAATTCTTCTTTTTCTTTTTAGATTGTACCAAAGTATAATTATTTACATTTTGTGTGTTTTGGTTATCTGTCAAAACACTTGCTTTCGCAGCCATTGCGTACGATTGCGGTGTTGCCAATGCTTTGGTTTTGTTTGACGTGCTTGGATTTTGTGAAGCATTTTTTATATTCATGTTTTGTATATTGTTTGTTTCCAGCGTTACCTTATTGTTTTGTTTATGTGTATTTATTATCGTAATATCGACAGGAATTTTGTTTCCGTTAGATAAACTTCTAGTAAACTTAGCTGGTGGCGCTATCTTCTGGGTATTTTTCGAAACATTCACTTTTTCGCCACAGGTTTCTGTAATTTTTCTAATTTGTTGGAGATTTTCCTGTAGAATAATATTTTTACTATCCATTTCACTTACTAGTCGTTTCAGATAAAAATATTTCCTTGGAAAGGTGTTCATCGGTTGGATTTTTACCTGGTTGATTTTTTGAGGTTATGTCCTTCACTTCTGGTTTACAGCAAATAACTTTTGTTTCGTCGATTATTTGGACGTTTTTCTTCTTGAGACAGCTCACATGAAAGCCATTTCCACAGTTTATACAAATTGCTACCGAAATAGTTGTCGTAATACAGCACGTAAGAAGTTTTTTAGAGGAGGCTTCATCAGCTTCACCTGTTCCGCCGGCCATCTTAACCAATCTACAAGTGCATCATGAATAATATTTAGTTGAGGAATTGACAGGATTGGTTTTAGAAACTTGTTGCACATGTAGATCCTATCTCAAGTGTGGATCTAGAGTAATGCCCAAGAATTTGTCTAATTCAGTCAAGTCCAATACAAAGTTATCCTTGGACTTTTTAATAGTTAGAAATTTGAAATGTGGTAAGCTTTTGGAGTAGGAACCAAAGGCCATGAACTTTGTTTTTTTCCATATTTATTGTCAGCATGTTATGATCAAATCATTCCTTGATAAATATGAAATCATTTTCTATTTGGTTTTTTAAGGATAACCATATGTTATCTTTATAGAAAACTGTGGTATCGTCAGCAAAGCTCAGTATTTTGTCTCTGGTTTTTCCTCTAAACAAGTTGTTTATTTAAATAAGAAATAGTATAGGGCCTAATATTGTACCTTGAGGTACACCACGGCGTTCTCTATACCAGGCGGGAGTGTGGTAGTGGGAGGCGTGACGTCAGGAGGCCGACTGCAATAGCAAATTAATGTATAATCGCGGTAATACAAGATATATCGCTCGATTTAACGTTGATTTAAATATTGCATTAGTTTGCTGCTTTTACAACATTATAAATAAATAAAAAATACCAAGAAAATGTTGAGTTCCTAACAGGCAACAGAAAAAAATAATTTGCAAGACAGTTTTATATGAATTATCGATTGTCAGAGCCGGCCTGAGGTTTTTTGCCTCTTTGGGCAAACAGCAGAAAAAAATTATCTTGTCCCGTCCCCAACTGTCAATTATTAAAATTATCTCTTCTTTTATAGAAATATTGCTTAGGTTTATTTTGTTTTATGTATAGCCTAATAAAAAAAGAATATATTTAACAATTTTATTGATAAAATACTATATAAAGAAAAATTCAAGCCAAAAGTCTGATTGGGATAAATTTGGCAAGGTATAAGATGTTAAAAATTTGGACTTGATGAATTATGAATCTTCTTCCTCTTAATACAATGCATTGTAAACGATATTGGCTGAAAATGAGGATGAGAATGCCTATCGATTTTGATGCCTTAATTTATGTTTGTGGTTTTGCAGTTCAGAATAAAATAAATTGCGAAAATTGTACCGCAATATTAATAGTAAAAATATTATATATTGCGTTCTTCATTTTATTTGCCAATTTACCTGCCATATTTATGTAATGATTGTTAAATATATTTGCAATTTTTTACTGTTTCTTCCTACTGTATTATTATTGTAGATTGCTTTGATATCGTCGTTTTTTGCCTGTTTATTTTTTAGGTTATTTATAGTTTACCACAATTGTTTATTACTTGTACTGCGATTTATTTTGTTTTTAAAATAGTTATTTTTTGCTTTAATTATTAATCCATTTAACCGATTTCTATACATTTTGTATTCAGTTTTTATATTTTGATCCCGTGTTTTCAAATATTTTTTTTATTATCATTTATTATCTCCTAATTTTTTTTCATAAGCGTTTGTAAGAGATTAAAAATGTCATTATTTGAATCATCCATAATTTAAGCAATATCTATGTGCTCGACAGCGACTAGGCACGACACCCGACCGCGACGCAGACCACCCAGGCAGCCTGGGCCAGGCTCCGTCCATAAATCGTCTGACGCTAAAATGGTTAACATAAACCCCTTCCCCCACCTTTGTGATAACTGTAAAGGTCATGAGACAAGTTATCGAACCTCCCAAATTGCAATTCTTTTGTGTAGGTATTTAAGATAGTAATCTGACAAAAAATAAATTTCATTTGACTTACTTTGTCACGTAATGTTTAAAAAAAGAACATTCCCCCTTGGGCGAGACAAATCGAAACGGTCCTTTAAATCCTACCTCCCTCTGCCAGCGATGACATAATTATCTATCCGTTGCCCTTTCTAACTTTTGACCATTAATTTCTTAATATATGGCTAAGAAAGTCGGTTAAAATGCAAAAAAATCGCGTCAAAGAACATATGCATATAGTGCATAGTACACAATTTGAAAAGATTTGATTTTATTATATGTACTGAGAATTCAAATAATTATGTACTCAAAACTTACTTACCTTGAATACTGACTCTCTGCACTATTAATAATTTTTAGGTCTTCCATGGAAGACATCTTTTTACACTTTAATCCTTTACTTTAAATAATACACTTTATAGAGCTTAAAATAGCGATACTTCGACAAAAATACAAAAATAACATAAGAAGTATTCAGGACAGTTGCCAAATTTTGGAGGTTACAAATGTATCTGTATTTGATTAGAAAGCGACACTAGCGCCAATTTATATATGGTGGAACAAAAAGTTCCTTTTTAGGAAACTTAGAGTAAAAGTTCAATATATGTTTGCACATATTGATTACTACCACTCCCCTAATGTCAAAAATATGGCTAAACACTGTCACCTCCCTCAGAGGTCACAGCGTTATACATATATGAGGTTACAACGAACCCTTTATCCATATATATATATATATATATATATATATATATATATTAGTCTGGTTCAAAAAAATCAACTATTTTTTTATATCATACCTGTATTCCGGAGTTTTCATAGAGCCACCGCACTTTTTAACGTTTCATTTAACCATATAGGTCTTTAGGCGTGTCAACATCTATTAACTTATAATTTTTCGGACCAGGGATGGGAGGGCATGGGGCTTAGGTAAGGGGGCTTAAACGATACGCAGAGTGGTCAGCAGAGCGTTTTAACTATGTTAATATAGGTTAATATAGGTTTGGAGGAAGTAGGTACATCAGTCAGGATCACTCTGCCACTGTTTTACGTGACTAGAAATGAGAAAATAAAGGAGTCAAAATGACGCCCAAATGTGACTGCTTTAAAGGTACTCAATCACAGTAGATTTTTTTTCCATATATTTACGACCCAAACATCTCAACAGTTATCTTACACCCTGTATATTTTCTTTAGTTAGTAGTATACAGACAGAAGATAGTACTAAGGATTCAGTTAGGTTAAGCAAGTGCTAAGTCAGTGTGCAACTGGTACAAAGTTATAACACCGGTCAACAACGAGAATGCCTGACAGCTTTTGAAAATTTAAAATCTGCATTAATTCAGCCGCCTATATTGCAATATCCAAATTTCACGCAGGGCCGAGATTTCAACTTTGGCCCGTGTGGTGTATACTATTTTTCTTTATACATCGGTAGAAAGTACTTACTTTCGTCCCCAGTAGCAGGGACGAAAGTTTACCTCGGTTGAAAGTACGTACTTTCGTCCCTAATAGCACAGGGAGTAAATGTTACACTTTCGTCCCTGAAATTAGGGACGAAAGTTCGTACTTTCGAACAAGGTATGAAGAAAATATTTTTATTTTGCAAACTGATGCGTCAGGCTTTGCTCTGGGAGCTGTGCTATCTAATAGTAATAACAGACCGGTGGCTTTTGCAAGTCGGTCTCTTAATAAGGTAGAAAGAAATTACTGCAGTATCGAAAAGGAACTTCTAGCAATAGTGTGGTCTGTAAAATATTTACGACCATACTTATATGGTAGAAAGTTTAAAATACTAACCGATTATAGACCGTTAGTATATCTCTTCGGTATGAATATTCCATCTAGCCGTTTAACTAAAATTTTGCAGAGATTTAGAAGAATATGACTTTTGTGTAAAGTACATAAAGGGAAAACAAAATATTACAGCTGACGCTTTATCTCTAATAGAAATAACATCACAAGAGCTTACCTCGATGAAAAACGTTGTATCTAGCGCAATGTATGTAGTGACAAGGTCTCAAGCCAAAATTCGTCTCGGCAGTAATTAAAAACACGGTTGACCAAATCAGGCCTGATCACATGGTTGAACTAGTTAAAAAAACCAAATACTTCATTGAACTTAAACCTATAAAATTAACTGATTTACAAAAGTAAAAACGATTTAATATCGATCAGCGTTGACACTAGATGAATCGCTGAGAGCCCTTAAATTAATTTGTAAAAAACATGATATTAAAGAATTATTAATAATAAAAAATGAGGATGGCGCGCACCTCATTAAAGATATAGAAAAAGAAGTAGGTAAATTCAAAATCGACAATATAAAAATTTCAATAATAAAAGATGTACAAAATATAACAAATGCAGAAGTTGGGCAATTAATTTTAAACGATTTCCACATGCTTCGAACCGGAGGTCATGCAGGAATAAATCGAATGTATAAGACTATAAAAAGGTATTATTTTTGGAATGGACCCTAAAAGGACATAGAAAAGTTTATAAAAAAGTGCGATGACTGTCAAAGGTACAAACACACTAAACCTTTTATTGAACCCTTAACAATAACTACGACAGCCTCACGCGCTTTTGAAAAAATTTATCTAGATTTAGTGTGAATTAAGTAAGTTTGTAAAGGCATATTCAATTTCAAATAAAGAGGCAATAACCGTAGCAATATCATTTGTAGAAAATTTTGTTATCAGATATGGTATTCCAAGCGAAATTGTAACAGATCGTGGTAAAGAGTTTTTAGCTTCTACTATGACCGTGGTGTGCAAATTATTAAGAATTAAACATTTAAACTCAACCGCGTATCATCATGAAACTTTAGGCTCTTTGGAAAACTCACACAAGCATGTAGGAGCTTATTTGCGGAAACATATATCAGAACATTCAGATGCTTGGAGCACTTGGATTTCGTACTGGTGTTTTTCTTCTAAACCTTTTATTGAACCCTTAACA